GACAGCTCGGACAAATTTGCGGCCGGACTCGTGGCCGGACTCGTGGCCGGTCTCACGGCCAATCTCCAAATTCAGTGACCAAGGAATATCTCCCAAACTAAAGAACGCAGCTTGATGAAACATGGAACACGTATTCATTAGGACACGTATTCATTAGGACACGTATTCATTAGGACACGTATTCATGTTTAGCTTGTGACAAATTTTGAAATTTCACGTTCATTCCGGAGTTGTATGGCGATAAGCTACAGGCCGAAATTGGCAGTGATCAACGATTTTTTTTCGAAAATACTGAACAGATTCAAACCAAATATTGAATATAAATTCTAAACGCTGATTTTTAGCTCGTGAAAATTTATTCGGGTCGGAGTCATGTTCTGCACGTGTTGTGCACAAATCATCAAACAAACGTACGAACTTCTGACTTCGACTTCGCGGACTGCCGCCCCCCTACCGCCCCTATCTTCCTCACGGCCCCCCTAGATCTTTCCACCGCCCCCAGGGGGGCGATATCGCCCACTTTAGGAACCACTGCTTTAAGGGATCACACACCTACTGTACGTGACAAGCTTAATGAGGTTCCTGATATGTTGGTCTATCGAGAATGGAGATATTGGTTCATGGAGATATTGGTTCATGGAGGTATTGACCCATGGAGATATTGGTTCATGGAGATATTGGCCCATGGAGATATTGGTTCATGGAGATATTGGCCCATGGAGATATTGGTTCATGGAGATATTGGTCCATGGAGATATTGGCCCATGGAGATATTGGTTCATGGAGATATTGGCCCATGGAGATATTTGTTCAGGGAGATATTGGTTCATGGAGATATTGGTTCATGGAGATATTGGTTCATGGAGATATTGGCGGCTTATGGAGATGTCGTGGGTAAAGTGGCAAAAAGGATGAATAAAACCGTTAAATGAAATTATTATAAACAAATGACATACACAAATGAGGACATGAATATAACCGTGTGTTCTCTTTGCTCTTGTTCTTACTTGGACTCAAAATTCGGAGCCCTTCTTTGCTGTGTGGATCACACAGCAATGAATAAGCTTAAGGCTTATCTAAACGAGGTCATGTCTGAGGTGACTTGAAACAAAATAATCAGAATACCTGCTGTAATAAAACATTACAGAGTAAAATAACACTACTGTAATAAAACACTACCTACTGTAATAAAACACTACCTACTGTAATAAAACACTACCTACTGTAATAAAACACTACTGCGTCCCCTAACAGAGATAATGGCGGCCTATGTAGATATAGGTCTATAGAGAAGGTTCTATTGATCACAGTTAACCCTGCTCCTCAACTAGAACTTGCATATATTTATTAATTAGCTTCGTACCGTTCCCCATTAATGAGGAAGGCAGAAGCTTCAATAATTTTTATAGGTAGTTTGAAATCTCGCGGTGAAACAACAGGCAGTGATGCGACTCCACATCGTCAAGACTGAGCACGCGTGTTTTTTGAGCTACGACTGAGCTATTCCGTATCATCAGCCAAACTTTAGCCGCTATTGTCGATAGTAAGCAGATATATTGGCCCTCATCACGAGTACATACATCGTGTATGTGTAAGAGTCTGTACAGGAAATTACGTAGCGCATAACACTTCATTATTCACTATAATAATTTATATACAAGAGCATTATATATGAGCGGTCAGCAGTCCGATGTGCTGCGATGCCAGCAAGCTAATTGTGAAATTTTGATAAAATTTCTCGATAAAATTAAATTTTGCAGAGAAAAATTTAGTAAGATTCCTCTTATTGTTAGCTGTAATGAGGTATAAAATTTTCCATCATTGTTATCTCAGAATCGCCAATCTAACTAAAAAATAAAAATGTCACTCGATAGTTCGATGCGCAAATTAACCAGAAATTCAAAATATTTGCCTCGAAGATTTTGTTCGTGAATTTGTGCGGCTTATTATTTGCTTTTAGATTTATGAATGATCTAAAGTTCGAAATAATCTAAACAAAAAAGTGAGCGTCTGAAGGAAAGCGTGACGACTGCCAATTTACATAAGCTACCCCAACACAGTCGCGACTGTACGTGCTTTGCGATCACCGATAACTGCCAGAGAAGTCTACGGATAACGCAACGATAATTTTCAACTTATACTGACCATTTTTCCACTTTCTTCCCTTATGAATAAACTGAATAAAATTTCATCCTTATACCACGGTTGTCTCATAAACGTATACCAAGAATGGATTCTGCGCGCGATTGCCGCGGCAACTTCTCCACGCGACAACATTTCTTCTCGCTTCGAGTCACCGACATGTGGAACAGCCTCCCCGATGACATCGTTGGCGCTCCAAGTATGAACGCGTTCAAGAACAGACAAATAATATAAAGAACAGACAAGTAGCTACGCTAGAGCGTGTTGCCTCTAACATACCTCGTGCCAGCACCCATCACTGGGCTACGGCCGGCTTTAAAGTGGCCGAGGAAAATGGCATGCGGTCGAACAGGACATGTGCACTATGACTTATGGATTAATTTTGAAGGCATTAAATATGTTACCTACAGTAAAGACTTACTGCTCAAAATATCCACGAAAAAAATACCGTCAAAATTTTATTTTTTTGGCCTCGGTCGACCACTGGCCATCTATCATTACTTGCCATTCATTGATCTCTTCTCCAGCACATGGGCAACAGGCGGGCAATTTACCTGTGTCACCCCTCATTCTTGTCCCAACTCCTTCATCAGAACTGCAGCTTCCGAAAAAAAGTGAAATAACCGATTTAGCAGTACTGAAAAAATCTAAAGTTTGAAAACAACTACGAAATGGCAGTTGATTCAGATATATCTTTAAACATCGATCAGAAGGCACGAGGTAAATGAAAGACGTGAAAGAGGTAAATGAAAGACGTGAAAGAGGTAAATGAAAGACGTGAACGAGGTAAATGAAAGACGTGAACGAGGTAGAACTGGAATACGAAATAACTCTTGTCTATGACTCGTCAGAGATACTATAAACGATACTATTAATACTCGTTCGTTCGAACCGTATATTAACCAGAAATTTAAAGGCAAATAGTATGGGATTACATTTTTAAATTTTTGTAGCTTATTACTTTCCTATTTATGGGTAGTCTAAATTATAGTGTAAAGAAACAGACGATAGTCTACTGGCAGGTACGCCTGACAGCTTTACTAGAGTTACCCAGACGTGGTAGTGACACGCTCCGTTCTTTGTGATCTGTGGTGCGGGAATATGGCCACTTATCTTCAGTGCCTCGTCTAACCACTCCTAAAAAAACTATCCTTCATGCACACTTCATTGAGCATCTGGCTACCGGTATCTTCAGTTGTTCGCCTTCACACTTACATAAACCTTTTAACATCTTCATAACGCATCTTGCCACTGATATCCCTAGTGGCTCGGCTTCACAATCTCAAATAAAAACTTTTCTCAGTGCGGCCGAAGTCCGAGAGCGAGGAATTCATGATAACTAAGTGTACTTTTGTCCGATCGGCAAGTAGCTACGCTCGAGCTACTCTAATATAGCTACTATATTAGAGTAGCTATATACCATATAGCTACTCTCTATGCCTCTAACATACCTCGTGCCAGCACCCATCACTGGGCTACGGCCGGCTTTAAAGTGGCCGAGGAAAATGGCATGCGGTCGAACAGGACATGTGCACTATGACTTATGGATTAATTTTGAAGGCATTAAATATGTTACCTACAGTAAAGACTTACTGCTAAAAATATCCACGAAAAAAATACCGTCAAAATTTTATTTTTTTGCCTCGGTCGACCACTGGCCATCTATCATTACTTGCCATTCATTGTGCTCTTCTCCAGCACAAGAGTAACAGACGGGCAATTTACCTGTGTCACCCCTCATTCTTTCCCCAACTCCTTCATCAGAACTGCAGCTTCCGAAAAAAATGTGAAATAACCGATTTAGCAATACTGAAAAAATCTAAAGTTAGAAAACAACTACGAAATGGCGGTTGATTCAGATACGTCTTTAAACATCGATCAGAAGGCACGAGGTAAATGAAAGACGTGAAAGAGGTAAATGAAATGAAAGACGTGAAAGAGGTAAATGAAAGACGTGAACACAAGCGCGTGGTTTACTCGTGGCCGCGCTTGGACGCGTGGGTGCCGCGCAGCAGACCGGTCCTCCGGGCGGCGATGAGACCGACCTTGCGACCAGGGGTCTTGTCCCTTGCCACGGTGCTGGCCTTGCCAATGTGCTGGTGGTTACCACCTCCGTGGGGATGCTCCACGGGGTTCATGGCCACACCGCGTACCTTAGGCCAACAGTTGCGCTTCACTCTGATCAAGCAAACCAAAAAATTAATCTTGTGCTACCAGAGGCGGGTAATTTGATACATTACATAATCTTGTGCTACCAGAGGCGGGGAAAATTCGATACATAGCATAATCTTGTGCTACCAGAGGCGGGGAAAATTCGATACATTGCATTTCACTGTACATGCACAAGTTATTTGTCATCAATGCTATTCGTTCTTGATGGCCTAGTAACAGTGGTTACGTCGGTAGAGTGACGACAGACATGGAAGGTGGCAGTGACTAATATGGGTGATGACACTTGTACTTATGATACGCATTAACTAATATGGGTGATGATACTTGTACTATGATAGGCGTTGACTAATATGGTTGAACACTCACTTATATTTATGATACGCATTAACTAATATGGGTGATGACTCACTTATATTTATGATACGCGTTAACTAATATGGGTGACGACTCACTTATATTTATGATACGCGTTAACTAATATGGGTGACGACTCACTTGTCTTGTNTACATTGCAACCCACTGTACATACATAGATTATTTGTCATCAATGCTATTCGTACTGGACGGCCTAGTAACAGTGGTTACCGTCGGTAGAGTGACGACAGACATGGCTGGTGGCAGTGACTAATATGGGTGATGTCACTTGTACTCAAGATACGCGTTGACTAATATGGGTGACGACTCACTTATATTTATGATAAGCGTTGCCAGCCTTGAGCAATTTCTTCTCAGTTCTCCCGCCGCCGGCGACGATGCCAACCATTGCGCGGTTGCTACTAAGTAGGACCTTCTTGCTGCCAGAGGGCAACTTGATGCGCGTCCTGTTGGTGTCGGGGTTATGGGACACGATCTGCAATACAACAACGGTGAGCAGGGCTTAGATGGCGGTGTTAAACGTCACCTTAGTGGGCATTTAAGGGCCAAACAAACGGTATGAGTTATGAGTACATCTTAATATCAGGGTAACGTGAAAATAGATGTCAAATTTTACCCTGAGATCTCTCGGACAACTTCTGAACGAATTATAGACAGGAAAATGAACAGAATTGTGTACGTTTTTAAGATCAACACTATCATTAAGGCACATTAATTTGCCATAGAGAGGCTCTTTGACATTGCCAGCAAAATGATACGAATAATAAGATGGGTTATATGCACGGCACTGAAGATGACCACAACAACAAAGTCAAACATTCTTGGTTCAAGCCTCAACAGCCGGCGCGTGGAGGCAGTTGGTGCAAATTAGTGAAGAAACCCGAATAAATTAACAAGTTTTATTTTATTTCTAACGAGGTTTATTTGTTCAAGGAATTTGTTCAACTCTGCTTTTCGATTTAGAGGCAATTTGATTGGTTTTGAGGGAGCATGACATTGCCTCAAGTCGTCAACTGTTAACATCTACCCTTCTCATCACGACGCAGCCCTGCTATTTGACCCCCACCATCACCTGGGCAGCGATGCCGGAGCAACGGGCGAGGCGGCCGCGGTCGCCGTACTTCTCCTCGACGTTGCAGACGGCGGTGCCCTCAGGGATGTTGCCGATTGGCAGCACGTTGCCCACATCCAGGGACGCTGTGGGGCGGACGGGGGCTCTTAGTAGGGGTACTATAGGGGTACTGGTGGCGACTCAACAGTTTAGTAACCCAAGCCAGGATGAAAGATGAGCACGTCGCCAACAACAGCCAAGCCAACACGTCTTTCTTGCCCAACAACAGCCAAGCCAAACATCTTTCTTGTCTGACAACAGCCAAGCCACACATCTTTCTTGCCTGACAACAGCCAAGCCACACATCTTTCTTGCCTGACAACAGCCAAGCCAAACATCTTTCTTGCCTGACAACAGCCAAGGCACACATCTTTCTTACCTGACAACAGCCAAGGCACACATCTTTCTTGCCTGACAACAGCCAAGGCACACATCTTTCTCGCCTGACAACAGCCAAGCCAACACATCTTTTTTGCCCAACAACAGCCAAGTCAACATCTTTCTTGCCAGACGCAACAGGCAAGCCACATATCATTCTTGCCCGACACAACAGCCAAGCCAACACATCTTTCTTGCCTAACACAACAGCCAAACCAACACATCTTTCTTGCCAGACACAACAGCCAAGCCAACACATCTTTCTAGCAAGACACAACAGCCAAGCCACATCTTTCTTGCCAGACACAACAGCCAAGCCACATCTTTCTTGCCCAACAACAGCCAAGCCATCACACCTTTCTTGCCAGACACAACAGCCAAGCCATCACATCTTTCTTGCCCGACAACAGCCAAGCCAACACATCTTTCTTGCCCACACAACAGCCAAGCCAAAACATCTTTCTTGCCCAACAACAGCCAAGCCAACACATCTTTCTTGCCAGAAACAACAGCCAAGCCAACACATCTTTCTTGCCCAACAGCAGCCAAGACACACAACAGCCAAGACACACAACAGCCAAGCCAACACATCTTTCTAGCCAGACACAACAGCCAAGCCAACACACCTTTCTTGCCCAACAACAGCCAAGCCAACACGTCTTTCTTGCCAGACACACCTTAATTACCCAACACCAGCCAAGCCACACAAGCCAACACATCTTTCTTGCCCGAGTAGATGTAGTACCTGTAGATGTAGTACCTGTAGATGTAGTACCTGTAGTAGATGTAGTGGCCCGTAGAGATGTCCTCCGCACTGATCAGGAGCTTGCGGATGCGGTTGCTGTTGGGGTCCCGGAAGTGGATGATGGCAAGAGGGGCGCCACGGCCGGGGTCGTGGATGATCTCCTGTGGGGCAGCAGGGATCAATAACATCCTTCTTAGGATATGACCAAGCCATAAACATCCTTCTTAGGATATGACCAAGCCATAAGAATAACGTCCTTAGGATATGACCAAGCCATAAGAACAACATCCTTCTTAGGATATGACCAAGCCATAAGAATAACATCCTTGAGACATAACAGCCATACATCAGTTCATAAGTTAACCAGATATAGAATTTATAATATGCTAGATACTAATATGATGTGATCATTTCTATAATTTATTTAATGTGGTTTGGGAGATAACATTTCAATTTTCAGACAATAATTTAATATAATAATACTGTCTCTGAAAGCCTATTAAATGTGTGCATGTTTACATACTGTCTCTGAAAGCCTATTAAATGTGTGCATATTTACATACTGTCTCTGAAAGCCTATTAAATGTGTGCATGTTTACAAGTTGTTTCAGTCTCCCCTTGACGACGCCTCGTGTGTAGTGCGTGCGCTCGTTGTAATCGAGCGCACGCAGGCATGGCTTGCCCTTGCGGTGCTTAGTGACCGCCTTGAAAACTGATCCTCTTCCCTTTCTCTGTGCACGGATAACTCAACCCATCTGCACAGTGCAAGGTTAAGTTAGACCAGGGCCTATACTTTAAAAAAAAAGTTAAGAGATCGTAAGTTCATCAGCCAATCATTGATGGCCTTTCAAGCAAAATTCACCAATCATAGACAAGAAAATAGAGCGTAAGTACTTACGTTCACTTAATCATAGACGAGAAAATAGAGCATAAGTACTTACATTCACTTAGCAAATTTTGAAAGTATGGCCCCTGAGGGCTGTACAGTGCAAAGTTAAGTTCAACTTACACAAACTGAAGGCCTGTTAGGTGCTCTTACTGCTCTTCTTTAGCAATATTAGATAAATATTCCCTACTTTTATACTTTCACTGCCACAATAAAACCCGACAACCAACAAAAGTGATACAGGAGCCATATCAATAAATAATATAATATAATAAGCCTTTAAATCCAATAACTTGACTACAACAGTCACCCATACTATCACTGCAAAATTGTCATCATTTTGATGACAATTTGATTGCTAGCACAATCAATGACTAAAAGCAAGACCAGAAGAGTCTGTCTATATATGAATTTATGTATCAAGGGGATTGTTTCTCTCAAAAATAAGAAATTCAGCTTTTCTGTATTCTAGGCTCGTAGCACAAGACAATTTTAAAAATACAAAAAGGAACATTTTTTAACATTATGTACCAAGATTTCTTTGAATTAAATCTGTGTATATAGATCATTACTGTCATTAATTGCCAAGTGTTTGCACTCGTTGGAAAGCTACAAACAAGACACATTCAAAGAAGCAAATATCATGTTTGTACATGCAATAATTTTTGCATAACGCAGTCTTTAACTTTTATAAAATGATCATTTTATATCATTATTTACAAATTTTTATTAAAAAAATGGTATTTATAGATCATTATTTGCATTAATTGCAAAGAGTTTGCATTAGTTTGAAAGCTACAAACGAGACACGTTAAAAGAAGCAAATATCATGGTTGTACAAGCAATAATTTTTGTGTAATGCAGTTTTGAACTTATATAAAAATTTATAGCTTATTCTTTGCAGTAAAACCAGACAGGAATAAGTCTAAAGATGCGCGTGCTGGTATCCTCAATGCAAATAATTGGCAATGGGGAAGCTTGGCTACAATATCAAGAATTTTTCTGGAATATTCTTTTTTCTCAATAAATTTTTACTTGTTTTGGCTCCCCTGAACAATTTAAAAAGCCAAAAAAATATACCACCTTAAAAAGTTAATAACTCCTGCAGCATTCAAGCCACAGCATTGAAAGCATATTCAATTTGTAAAGACCATACCTAGTGACTAAGAACCATTTTTAGCGCACTTTCTCATTTATGGAAAAAATGTGCTATTGTGCTCGCCATGTCTGTCCGTCCGTGACCTCAAGTTTTTGTTGATGAGAAAATGCGCTCTATGTCACTCACTGCAGTGAGTGCTGAGTTGTATTTTTTTTAATTTGTGCATTCTTTTACTTATATATGGGGGATGAAAATGTGCAAAAAAAAAAAACTGAAAAAGCCAATCGAAGAAAATTGATGAGAAAAAACAAAAATCAGGGCTATAGAGCCGCTAAATAATGTTGTTACAAAATTAATTATATGTGTCTTGATGTTTTAGCTTGAAAATTCTAGGAGGATAGATTTTTACAGTACCCCTATTTGACCATTTCCTAAGAATTTCACGTTTTCTTTCATTTTTTTCAAAAAATTCACACAAACAAAAAAGTTATTAATTTCTGTTTTACATATTTGTACCAAGTTTCAAAGTGATGTATCCGTAAATAAAAAAGTTTTTGGGGGGTTAACGATCCTCTTAAAACTCAGCATATTCCACCATGGTGGCATGTTGTTCTTTAGTTGCCAAGCTAAAATAAAGAGATGTAAATAATAATGCTGGTCCAGGACGCTACTTGTCTGCATCTATAGCCCTTTTTCGTTAAAATTCTCTTCAAAGAGTAGAAACTTGACAGACTTTAGTTTGGTGCTGTCAGATTAGGAAACAAAAACCTTTTTTTTAACACCCATGTCATAAGAACAGCCTCTTTGGGTTGTATTAACCCTCTCGCACCGTATGTCACTCTCTGTACCGAAGTGGTACATGATTCAGGTTGCCTAAAATTGGCCAAATCTGAGAACAAAAAAGGCCCAAAAAAGGCCAATAACTCAATATATACTAGTTTATTTGTAAGTTCTGCTATAAAAATTCCATTTATTTTCCTTTTGCAGTATTTAAAATTTAACTAGGAAGTACCCCTATAATAAATTTTAGCCGGCCAACGCAATTGAGAAAAACTAAATCACGGAATTTGTCCGGAAAAAATGACCGTCTGGCAACCCTGCTTGATAACAGTACAAAAAGTGAAGTAATAGTACAAGATGAAGCAATCAGAGTCAACGTGTTATAGTTAAATTATACGTAAACTATTGAGTGTAGCAACCTGAGGACGTTTGTACGCAACAGAGAACATTTTAAAGTTAAACTTTTAACTTAAATTATACATAAACTATTGAGAACGATAGTCTACTGGCAGGTACGCCTGACAGCTTTACTAGAGTTACCCAGACGTGGTAGTGACACGCTCCGTTCTCTGTGGTGATAATGGCCACTTATCTTCAGTGCCTCGTCTAACCACTCATAAAAAAACTATCCTTCATGCACACTTCATTGAGCATCTGGCTACCGGTATCTTCAGTTGTTCGCCTTCACACTTACATAAAACTTTTAACATCTTCATAACGCATCTTGCCACTGATATCCCTAGTGGCTCGGCTTCACAATCTTAAATAAAAACTTTTCAGTGCAGCTATGTTCGAGAGGGAAGAATTCACGATAGCGATGCGAAACGTAGGTCTGGGCCGGATTATCAAAAGTTCGTAACTTTTTGTACTTACGACAAAAAAGAAGTGGCAGAGTAATGCGGTCGGTTAGAACTAATAGGCCTCGGTCGACCACTGGCCATCTATCACTACTCGCCATTCATTGATCTCTTCTCCAGCACAAGAGTAACAGGCGGGCAATTTACGTGTGTCACCCCTCATTCTTGTCCCAACTCCTTCATCAGAACTGCAGCTTCCAAAAAAAAAATGTGAAAGAACCGATTTAGCAGTACTGAAAAAATCTAAAGTTTGAAAACAACTACGAAATGGCGGTTGATTCAGATACGTCTTTAAACATCGATCAGAAGGCACGAGGTAAATGAAAGACGTGAACGAGGTAAATGAAATGAAAGACGTGAACGAGGTAAATGAAAGACGTGAAAGAGGTAAATGAAAGACGTGAAAGAGGTAAATGAAAGACGTGAACACAAGCGCGTGGTTTACTCGTGGCCGCGCTTGGACGCGCGGGTGCCGCGCAGCAGACCGGTCCTCCGGGCGGCGATGAGACCGACCTTGCGACCAGGGGTCTTGTCCCTTGCCACGGTGCTGGCCTTGCCAATGTGCTGGTGGTTACCACCTCCATGGGGATGCTCCACGGGGTTCATGGCCACACCACGTACCTTAGGCCAACAGTTGCGCTTCACTCTGATCAAGCAAACCGAAAAATTAATCTTGTGCTACCAGAGGCGGGGAAATTCGATACATTGCATTCCACTGTAAATGCACAAGTTATTTGTCATCAATGCTATTCGTACATGACGGCCTAGTAACAGTGGTTACGTCGGTAGAGTGAACACTGCCATGGAAGGTGGCAGTGACTAATGACTAGTGACTAATGACTAGTGACTACATGGGTGATGTCACTTGTACTATGATAGGCGTTGACTAGGAATTTAAAAGCAAAGATATGCACCGGATAATGCCATGATTGGCCGCTTTACGTCAGGCGTTTCTTTTAGTTTGTCCAGCCCTGTAATTAAATCCCATAGACATTTGTTAAAGGGCCTAAAAACTGCCCTTCTTTGGGAAGCTGTCACGAAATCATTTTCCGACGTAGAGGGATGATTCTGGCACCGTTGGATGCGTCAAAAAGTAAGCTTTAAGATGAGCCCAAAAAGTGGCAAACGCCAAAATTGAAAATTTTAGCCAGGTCGGTCCCCTTAATTAAAAGCTTAATAGCTCTTAAATAAAAGCCTAATTAAGTAGCGTTCAATATTCAAAAGTGTTCTAATTCCGAGCTATGTCCTATTCCAATACAGCCCACACAGCAATCGGAATTCGAACACACAAGGGACGGAATTAGGAATTAGTAGAGTTTGAAGTGTGGCCGGAATTAGTATCACAAAATGCAGAATTTAGTCACACACAGTGTCGCCTTCTGTGTTGGAATATATGGGTTTGGTAGGTTTGCATTCTAAAGGCTTTTAAATAAATATGGCAACAGTTTGTGACGTTTCATTGTTGCTGGCGGGTAGTGTGGTGTTTTGAGAGTGACGTATAGCAAACAGAACTCTAGTTGCGCGTACACTCCGTACAGTGACTTTTTTATAGCCATTCATTTTAGGCTATGTCCTCAATGTGTTGGAATATACCACATTTACCCTATCAACTTTCATACGTGTTGTGATGTTCTCACTAGTTGACTTGGACTTTTGCTCCACAGATCTTAACATTTTCCCACTAGAACTAGTGTATTGCGGAAATCTGGCACGCAATAATATGACGTCACTATTTCAACCATCTACGCATGCATGCTGCATGGAACTAAGACCAAGCTTAATATAAAGGAAAAGTTGAGGGGTGTTGGAATTACCCACAGCCACAGTGTTGGAATATGGTGTCATTGGTGTGTTAGGCTATCTTAATTTTTACATTTTTATTGGACTTCAATAAGCAATGCCATATCAGAAAATTGTGCCACAACAATGCCTGAAATCTGAACGAGACAAAAATGCTTGTGGAATTCATGGTTAGGCTAATTTTGGCAGTTCCAACTTTCAACTGCCCTTGCTTCATTAATTGGTTGAAACAAAGAGAGAGACTGATAATTTTGGCATGAAATTTTCAAAAATCACAGACATCACATAATAATTATTTCTATCTGCAATTTTTGGAAAATTCTATCAATATGC